AGAAAGTAATTCAGTAATTTTAAATCATATCAAGTAATTCAGAAGTCAGTAATTCAGTATTTTAAATCATATCAAGTAATTCAAAAGTCAATAATTCAGTAATTTTCAATCATATCAAGTAATTCAAAAGAAAGTAATTCAGTAATTTTAAATCATATCAAGTAATTCAGAAGTCAGTAATTCAGTATTTTAAATCATATCAAGTAATTCAAAAGTCAATAATTCAGTAATTTTCAATCATATCAAGTAATTCAAAAGAAAGTAATTCAGTAATTTTAAATCATATCAAGTAATTCAGAAGTCAGTAATTCAGTATTTTAAATCATATCAAGTAATTCAAAAGTCAATAATTCAGTAATTTTCAATCATATCAAGTAATTCAAAAGAAAGTAATTCAGTAATTTTAAATCATATCAAGTAATTCAGAAGTCAGTAATTCAGTATTTTAAATCATATCAAGTAATTCAAAAGTCAATAATTCAGTAATTTTCAATCATATCAAGTAATTCAAAAGAAAATAATTCAGTAATTTTAAATCATATCAAGTAATTCAGAAGTCAGTAATTCAGTAATTTTAAATCATATCAAGTAATTCAGAAGTCAGTAATTCAGTAATTCTAAATCATATCAAGTAAATCAGTAATTTCAAATCATATCTAGTAATTCAAAATTTAGTAATTTATAAATAGTAAAGTATATCAAGTAATTGAAATGTCAGTGATTTAAAAGTAAATCATACATTAAATATTTACCGTAATTCAAAAGTCAGTAAGTGAGTAATATTAAATCATATCAAGTAAGTCAAAAGCCAGTAAGTCATAAATGGTAATTTCATTAAGTTATTTTAGTGTCAGTATCTCATATATGTCAAAATATAGGAAATAATTTACATGTCATTAAAAATGGCAAATCAGAGAAAACAATTTTAAAATAAGTAATAATAAATTATATTAAGTAATTCATATGTTAAACAGTAAATTTGTAATATTTTGCTATTTATTACTTACTGCCTATGGAATATTTTTAATAGTATGTAATGAACATAAAGTTTGAAAATCAGTAATAGTTTGAAAATCAGTAATAGTAGCAAAGTTTGAAAATCAGTAATAGTAACAACGAATTATATCATATAGTTCAAAAGTCAGTCAGTTGTTTATTGTTAATTTTATTTTGCAAATAAAAAGTCTTTATAAAAGGCAAACTGTATAAAGTAAATGAAAATTTTGTGATAGTAAATCGCTAATAATACGAAGTAAATCATAAATCAGAAATAGTAAATTGCATATTTTCTCAAGCAACTGTCATAAATTTCAAAATTCATAAGTTTGTATGTTATTAATCTCAAAATATATCAAGTAGATTTAAAATTATTAATCGTTAATATTAAATTATATTATATATAAACAATTTACAAGCGAGTATAAAGCGAAGTGATGTGAAAATAACCAATCCAATCAGAAACTTGGATCATATCAAGTAATGAGTGAATTTTTGAATATGACGTATTGTTTGGGAAAAATTATGCTGAAATAAAGAAAAGGTAAAAAGGGATAGCATCGTCATTATGTTAAACAACAGTTATTGATATTCATATGTTTTCTGAAGCAAAGTATTGTATTGTTGCTAAAAAAAGTTTTTCAGAATTATTTTCAAAATTGTTCGATAATGAAATCTTACAGAAAAATAAATAGATACTCTGAAGAAAAAAACGAAAACACTTGTGTGGAAATAACAGACGTACAATATATTCTTCTTATGTATTTAAAAATTTTACAAATGCTTTAAAGACAAAGAAAATATCATTGTTGTTAGGGAAAAAATACAACAAAAACTGTAGTAAAACAAAAGTCTGTATAGTATTTCATAAAATTCCACACAACTTAATTCATAAATAACAGAGACTGAATATTGCTAACAAAATAAAATGCCATGTGCTTATTGTCCTGTATATGAAATGCTTTGTAATTTAATAATTTAATAAAATAATAAAAAATTACCATAAACATTTCAACAATCTTTTTCGTGTTTCTTAATACATATTTCCTGAAAGTTAGCAAAAAAATATGTTTAATACACTTTTCGACATACATAGGTTAAGTAATTTAAAAATCAATAACTAGTGGATGGCCATATACATAACATACGGAAGAACCAGGTTTCATAAGTAGAATGGTTAATTTCATTGTGTTAGAGGTGAAAGTGACAAAAACAACACGTTTCTCTCTATCGTACTTTCTAATCAAATACTTTAATTAATTTAACCATGAAATTAAACGTAATAATACTAATGTAAATAGTTTAATTAACCAGACGCAATTTATCTCTTTAAATGACAAAATTAAGTTCAAAAAGTACTTATGTAATCATAAACAACGGTTTTAAATTAGATACAAAAATTAAATAACACAACAGCCAATTCTACTTGTGTTGACAATAATTCAAAACTTGAAAGACTGTAAAAATATAATTAACAATTGAAAACTTAGTTAGTTGTAAATAAAAATTGTATTATTCAGTAGTTGAAAGTCAGTAAGTCACAAATGGCTAAGTACTGTACATCAACAAATTTATAAATCAGTATATTTTAAATGGCATAATACGTGAAGTAATTTACATGTTAGAAGTAGTAAATAGCAAATTGTATCAGGTAATTTAAAAGTTAGAAATGTATAAATGGCAAACTGTATAAAGTAATTTAAAAATAAGTAGTACATAAGGTACAGTTTCCTGGCATTTTCTAAAGGGATCGCTGAGGTCATCGTTCAGTTTTTGTGCACATCACCTTGCAAGCTTCACTCCTTTGAAGAACGTCAAATACGCAGGGAACAGAATGCCAGGAACACTCATACAAGCTTCTATTTTGTGAACCTGTTATATCATACAGTACTCCAAACCTCAGAATCTTGCTCTAGTTTTTTGTATCCAAACATACATTTTGCGCTTTATTTCATACTCTTAATACTCATTCATGACTTTTCATACACTCGGCACATCATATCCTTTAAAATCTGTTTCTCTTTCACACCCTCTTTCACTTATTCATCCTATTTTTTTCGGTTTTTAACGGTCTCCATGTGTTTCTACATTTCTCACACACAACTTCGAGCACAAATCATTTTTGACACTTTCCACGTTGTCAAACAAAAGCAGATAATATAAACACATTTGCTCACTCGCATTTTTTTTACATGACAGTGCACCAATACATCTTTGTTACTTACCAGATGTTTTCTTGTCACAGAACATATACACATCAGTTATCTCATCTTAGCTGCAATCACTTAGATGTAACTTTTTTATCTAAACCTATTCTTCATAACTATGAAACAAGGTTGGAGAAGCACAGTCTTTTACAAAGCCATATTAGCCATCTTCGACAACATAATTGTATAAAACTATCTCCTTGTGCATACAACTATTTTCATGCAGTCATTCATTTCACTTCCAATCTACCCATCTATTCTGTCACTTCTTTCAAAGGTGCGCTCCATGTAAACAAACATTTTAATATCCTCTAGCGTTATATCCTTCAGCGATATCTTCCCCTCACTCATTTGTAAATTCTTTCAAACACGAAATCTTTTCTTTCTATTCATTCTTAATGGAATTTTTTTACATCTCGATTTTTTCAGAATTTTTTTAAATTTATGGTTATGCTATCTTCTCGATGTACTCCTCGTTACTACTGCCATTCAAATATCTCAGGTAGCTTCTTTCTTCTTCTTTACAGCATCGGCAATTTCTTTATTTCAACACGCAGTTTTTCTCACTCGTTTTTTTTATTTTCACAGAACCAGACAATATTTTTGCAAATTCTATCACAACCTTTATCACAACATCCCACAGAATCTGATAGAATTTTTTATATTTTTTGCACTTTGCAAATTTCGCAGTTACGTACGTATTCTCCATAATGTAATTTCGCTTTTTCAGGCTATCTAATTTTAGACTTTTTAAAATTTTACAGTCATCGTTTTGTCTTTTATATAGCAAATCATTCAGCAATTGTATCATCGATCTTACCAGGTACTAGTCAATACCTATTTCACACCTTTTCATCACATTCGTAACTTGCAGTATCTATTTCACCCTTTTATTATATATCACAAAATAAATTCTAGATTTTGCTACAGTGTTCGGTTCTCCCAAGTATTCATGTGGATATGTGAGGAAAGAATGTGCTGAATATATACAAGTCCATTGCAGCACGTAGTTGAATCAAGCGAGCAGTATTGTCATTAACTCCAACGAAACTATACTTGCAGTCACACGGAAAGAATTGTCGATTATTCACACCTATATGTGCATTTATATCACCTAACCACACAATCCGTATATAAATTTACCTCGCTTTCGTTCCAGACATTCAACAGAACACTCCAGAATTTATCTTTACCTTCAATCACACTGAATTACCCTTTTTATGCCTTATAGTGTCAATCCAGTTTATGCGCGTAAACATACAGTAATTTGTGTGTTACAGATATTAGATTAATATATAAGGTAAGTTGGTAATACATTTCATACTGGATATATACTGTATTCTATATTACACTGAATGCCGTATATATTTTAATGAATAAACATTAATGTAGATAGCAACATTATCCACACGGTAACAAACAAGACACTAACCATTTCGAAACAAATGGTAAAGACAGAAAAGATTTTAACTTATTTTCGGTAGAATCACAAGGATTTTATGTCCATTTATGACTGCCAAATGTTTATAAGGCGAGGGGAAATGTAGAACTGAAATGAGAAGCAAAAATTAGTGAAAATGACGTGAATAGGTTAACTAAAGTATCAGGCCAGATGTGTATGTTCATGGCATCCACAAAAAGTCATGCTGAAAATGATTTCGTTAAGCATAATTTTTAAAAATTGCCGTAACTTGGAGAAATATCCGAGGTAGTCAATAAAGAGATATGCCTTAAGCGGCATATAAGTTTGTAAAACTTACACTGATAAAAAAAANTACAGTACATGAAATAATTCAAAAGTCAGTAAGTCATTAATTTCAAATCATATCAGGTAATTCAGAAGTCAGTAAATCATAAATGGCAATTTCATGAAGTTATTTTAATGTCAGGAAGACATAAATGTCAAATTATGGGAAATAATTTACATGTTATTATAAATGGCAGATCAAAGAAAAAACAGTTTTAAAATCAGTAATAATATATAAATCATACTAAATAATTTATACGTTAAACAGTAAATTTGAAATATTTTGCTGTTTATTACTTACTGTCTACTGCATATTTTCAACTAGAATATTTTGAATAATCAGTAAGTAATAAATAGCAAAATATTTATAAAGATTAAAAATTAGTAATAGTAAACAGCAAATAGATTTTGCTTCAGTGTTCGGTTCTCCGAAGTATTCATGTGGATATGTGAGGAAAGAATGTGCTGAATATAAACAAGTCCATTGCAGCACGTAGTTGAATCAAGCGCTCAGCATTGTCATTAACTCCAACAAAACTATACTTGCAGTCACACGGTAATAATTGTCGATTATTCACACATATATATATGTGCATTTATATCACCTAACCACACAATCCTTATACAAATTTACCTCGCTTTCGTTCCAGACATTCAACAGAACACTCCAGAATTTATCTTTACCTTCAAGCACACTGAATTACCCTTTTTATACCTTATAGTGTCAATCCAGTTTATGCGCGTAAACATACAGTAATTTGCGTGTTACAGATATTAGATTAATATATAAGGTAAGTTGATGATACATGGTATACTGGATATATATTCTATATTACACTGAATGCCGTATATATTTTAATGAATAAACATTAATGTAGATAGCAACAATATCCACACGGTAACAAACAAGGCACTAACCATTTTGAGGCACATGGTAAAGACAGAAAAGATTTTAACTTATTTTCGGTAGAATCACAAGGATTTTATGTCCATTTATGACTGCCAAATGTTTATAAGACGGGGGGAATATAGAACTGAAATGAGAAACAAAAATTTGTGGAAATGACGTGAATAGGTTGACTAAAGTATCAGGCCAGATGTGTATGTTCATGGCATCCACAAAAAGTCATGCTGAAAATGATTTCGTTAAGCATAATTTTTAAAAATTTCCGTAACTTGGAGAAATATCCGAGGTAGTCAATAAGGAGATATGCCTTATGCGGCATATAAGTTTGTAGAATTTACACTGATAAAAAATGACTGAAATGTGATTGGATGCAATCTGTACATTGTCTGCGTTACCACTTGTTATATTTATGCCATCTGACTATTTTTATGAAGATTATTCAGAGGATAATGCAGAGGTAAATTTATGAAAATTACTTATTACTTACCATAATCATTAGTTATTACATACTCTGACAATTACGCATTGTTAGTTGTTAGTTTTCCTCAATTACCATGCTAGGAACAACGCCAACTATATATAACCCTGTAAACTTTATTTTAATTCGATTTTGTTTTTTCACTTAACTCTTGCTACTATATACATATATACAGTCATCAGTAGCAATAGTTAAGTGAAAAAACAACATCGAACTAAAATAAAGTTTACAGGGTTTTTAAAAAAAATAGGACATTAAATTAAATGCAAATAAAACCAAAATATTAATATAAACTATCAATNTAGGTTATAGTTGTTGCACTAAAGGAAGAAATCATCTCTGCATTTTGTAGAACAAAATCAGTTCTACTAGGTTCAGAAATATCCATCGTTCTTGTACTCGGCAAATGTCGTGAAGTCCAAGACCGTCAATTTGAGCATTTAGTATTATATAATAAAACTTTAAAATATTTCGTAGAAAACTTCTGTTTTAGGTAAGCCTCTTCGGTAATTTTGACTCTATTACAACACAGAAACAGAACGGCAGTGACATACTATCTAGTCTAAGGCGTTACCTTGTTGTAGGGCTAAACTAATATGTTTCGAGTGGTATTTTTATGAAACAATTTTCGAACAGAGAAAGAACACGATGAAAAAATATTAATTTGCACAATACTGCATTTGCACAAAGTATATAATGTATAATGCAACGTACATATCTCGAATTGTATATAGTGCTGGACTTAGTCGAGTGAAATCTTAGGCAAACAGCAGTTTCCAGCGAATGCGGTCAACTGCAATGGTTTCATCATCATCCAATGGAATGCTAATTTTCATTACATCATCTTTATATGTCAAGTGCCAGTTGTTCGTAATCTTCTTCATTAACTTTTTTACCACAAGATTTCCATTTCAATGTTACATTTGGTGCGCCTTCCTCCACAAGACAAAGTACAGTATATGCAAAACGCATTTTATGTTGCGTACTGTACAAATGACCTGTAGTTCGTGTAAACAACTTTTACTGAAAAATTAATTATTTGTGATACAGTCATGAAATGTAATTTCAAGTATTCTTCGAAAACAGCGTAAATGGAATACGTAGTTTTTAGGTAATCTTTTTCAATTCTTTCTATGTTGCACGAACATAAATTAACATAAAACGAAAATCGTGATGTATCTCAATAGCTGTAATAATTGCTCTTGGGAACCACATTAAGCATACTTTATGAAAAACATTTATAAATTTACCGAAACGGTGTTCTATATCAGCATTGATACCTCCATGTGATGATAACATGTTACCAAAGTACCAGAACCTCTCCATTTCATTCATTATTTTACTGTCTACTATGAACTTCGTTTTGTTTCACTATTTATCGAAATTATTTTTGCATTTTTACTGCTGATTCACAATTCCACCCTTCCAGGCTTATGTTAAAAGTTTTTTAACATACATTTTTTAACGCAAATTTAATATCAATGCAAAATCACCAAAAAAGTTACGTTTTATAAATTGCGTCTATTCTCAACATAGAACTCATGAACCAAAAACAGCCATTGATTGCGACATTACAAAATCTATGAATTTATACTATTTAATACTATATACTATTTAAATTGTATATAGTACAAAATAGACAATAAAAACTTAAAATAATAGAGGAGAAGGTGGTATTATGGAACACTGCGGGTATTATGGAACCACCTCATTTCGAACTGATAATAAAGGCGAACTGTAGAGGAATGTGGCTGAACTGAACTAGGCAGACATCCATAGCAAGGGGAAAATCCGTTTTACTTCAGTTAAACGGTTGTCCGCATTTAATCAGCAAATTTGTTTTTTTTCAAAATTCGAAAGTTTTGAATGCTAAGTGAATTTAATTATTTTTAAAATATAAATCGTGTAGTTGTAGGTTCATCGGTGCATGTATTCCGTTCCAGAGACTTAGGGGTACATATTAATCTGTGTGATGTTCACGTTTTTAAATTTTGGTCTTGACAGACATAAGTTAATTCAAGACGGCTATGCGTGAAATACGGACCCCATTGGTGCTTTTACAGTAATATGGAACTCAACTCCTCAGAACTTTCTATTTGCGAGCAGACATTCCTACAGAGCAATTTGTGAAAAAGACACTAGGTAAAAAGCCAATTCTTCCCGAAAATATCGAAAAAGAGCTGCTGGAATATATATTGTTGATGGAGGTCATAATTTTCTATTATAAAAGTATTTTTGCGATAAAATACATTGGAGTAAATAATTTGGTAATTATTTAACTTTTTTGGTTCTTTCCTATTTGTTTTTGGCTACATTAAAGCATTTTTTTGAAATATACAGTAAGGTTCCATATTACCACCCGATTTTCTCTAAGCCTACTTTCGGACATTTTGTACAAAAGCATTCAAAAACCATACTTATAATTACACTAGCGAAAAATCCAATTAGGATCATTTAGATTACTAGTTACCAGTACTTTTCGCACAAAAAATGTGAATGTAGTTATGATACCTTGTTTACAATTCACTAAAATGTAATTGGAATTCGATAATACCACCTTCTCCTCTACATAAATACATAAAACATAATAGCATATACAGACTGTAAAATAAGCAATAAATCAATATAATACAATATAATAAGAGCATAATTAAAATGTGACAAATTACAGAGCAATAATTCACAAGTAAATAGAGGGTCAGATCAAACATATTATGTCAGTATAAACGTCACTAACTAGTAAGGCGTAAAATAAAATACGTAATTCGATAATCAAAAATAGTAAACTACAAATCATGTAAACTAATTCAATACTGAATTGCAAATTGTGTCAAACAACTCGAAAAGTAGAAAGTATATAAATGAAAGATAAGTCACAAATCTGAACGTCAGTAAATTGTAAAGGGTAAAAATATCAATTCAAAAATCAATAACTAGTAAATGTGAAATGCATGAAATATACACAGTCACAAAACAACTCGTTTCATTTTTCCTCTTTACTTTCTAACACATAAATGCTAAACACAAATGAAATAGCTCAAAAGCTATTCCAATTGTTCTGACAATCATTAAAAATCGGAAGATAGACGCTGGCTAAATATAATTTAAAATTTCTGGAAATTTAACCAATTAATTTATATGTAAGTAAGACATAAATGTTAACTTCATCGAGTAATTTAAAAGCCAGTAAGTCATAATTAGCAAAGCATATGAAGTAATATAAAAGTCAAGAAGTCAGTAGTTTAAAATCATATCAAGTAATTTAAAAGTCAATAATTCATAAATGGCAAAGTATATATAGTAATATAAAAGTCAATAAATCATACATAATAACGTATATCCAGTAATTCAGGAGTCATTAAGTCATAAATGGTAAAGTACGTTAAGTTATTAAATAGTCAGTAAATCATAAATAGAAAAGTATATCAAGCAATTTAAAAATCAGTAAGTTATAAATAATTACGTACAGTACATAAAATAATTCGAAAGTCAGTAAGTCAGTAATTTCAAATCATATCAAGTAATTCAGAAGTCAGTAAATCATAAATGGTAAGGTACAAAATATGAAATATTACAAAACTCAGTAATTTTAAATCGTATCGAGAAATTCAAAAGTCTGTAAATGGCAAAGAATGTATAGTAATTTACAAGTCAGTAATTCATAATTGGCAAATTATATATAGTAATTTAAAAGTCAGTAAGTGATAAATGGTAACATATATCAAGTAATTTAAAAGTCAGTAAATTATAATTGGTTAGGTACAGTACATGAAATAATTCAAAAGTCAGTAAGTCATTAATTTCAAATCATATCGAATAATTCAGAAGTCAGTAAGTCATAAATGATAATTTATATCAAGTACAGTAGAGCGTCGATTTTCCGAATCAATTGGGGACTAGGGTTGTCCGGATAACTGATATTTCAGATAACTGATTTACGTACGAAAAAATAGTATAACGTATCCGATGTAAAAATTTTTCTCCGTTGCATGTCGCTTCGCGTTGAAGTTTCGTCGATGTTAAGACTAACAAAGACTATTGTATCGTAAATAAATTATTTTTTTGTTTTGTACAAACTAAATTAATACATTGAAAAATATAAAAATATTAAAAAATTATACTTCAGATGTTAATTTAGTATCAAAAACGTAAAATATTTGAGTAGCCCAAGACACAGCCAAAGATTGAAGCGCCACAGCACTGGCGATAATTTAAATTTGCCGACTGGAATTCTTTCGAATGATTCACGTTTCGGATAATTGACTTTCGGAAAATCGACGCTCTACTGTAATTTAAAAGTAAGTAAATCATAATTGGTAAGGTACAGTACATGAAATAATTCAAAAGTCAGCAAGTCATTAATTTCAAATCATACCAGGTAATTCAGAAGTCAGTAAGTCATAAATGGAAATTTATATCAAGTAATTTAAAAGTCAGTAAATCATAATTGGTAAGGTACAGTACATGAAATAATTCAAAAGTCAGTAAGTCAGTAATTTCAAATCATACCAGGTAATTCAGAAATCAGTAAGTCATAAATGGTAGTTATATCAAGTAATTCAAAAGTCAGTAATTCAGTAATTTTAAATCATATCAAATAATACAAAAGTCAGTAATTCAGTAATTTTAAATCATATCAAGTAATACAGAAGTCAGTAATTCAGTATTTTAAATCATATCAAATAATACAAAAGTCAGTAATTCAGTAATTTTAAATCATATAAAGTAATACAAAAGTCAGTAATTCAGTAATTTTGAATCATATCAAGTAATTCAGAAGTCAGTAATTCAGTATTTTAAATCATATCAAATAATACAGAAGTCAGTAATTCAGTAATTTTAAATCATATCAAATAATACAAAAGTCAGTAATTCAGTAATTTTAAA